CGCTTGCCCTTTAGGACGGACGTCGGACGTCAGCGGCGGCCTATGGTCTTTATGGGCACCCCTCCCTCCCCTGCCGCCCGGCGCTTGCTTCCGCCCCGCCGCGCCGGGGCCCCGCCCCCGCACGCAATGGTCCAGCTCTCGGCCACTCCGATCACAGGCTATCCATCACAGACGGCGGAGCCTGCGCCGCTCAAACGGCGGCCGCCGCCCAGCTGCCGCGCGGGGCCAGCCGGGTGTTCAAGCTCCCCACGCTTCTGGGTACTCGCGCCACGCCGCGGTCACGCCGCGGTGCTCCTAGGAGAGGAGGGCACGCCCCGACGACGCCCCGCCACGCGAGGCGCGAGGTGCAAGCGTGCGATCAGTGTCACTTTTCGCTCCTTTACTATAACTGCTAGCAGTGTCGTAGCAAAGCTTAGCAAAGGTTTATTCAATGTGCGCGACACGGACAGGGAGCGTTTTAGCATCGAGTGGGAGTGAGAAAGGTTGGCAGTAGCGAGAGGGCCGCGACCTCCTACCCTCTCGCTCGCCATTTCTCTCTCGCTCTACGGTCCCTCTGTCTCCGTCTCACTCGCGCGGGTGTCGCAAAAGGAGATTTACTGGTGCTCCGCCGGCCCCGGCCCCGGCGCGCTCCGCCGCCGTCGCCGAGGGCGCATGAGCTCGCCATTGGAGCCCATGGAATAATACGAGCAAGAGTGTCGAAGAGTGGCGAGGCGTGGCGGGGTTACGATGTTGTGTCGGGCGGTGCGAACAAACACTTTGATCGCGTTTCTTTGCCGACTTCATAGGCCTCCTTTCGAATCACGCTGACCCCGACCGACCGCCTCGCCTCGCCGCGCTCGCCGCTCGTGTTGCGTATGCGGCGAGTATCTGCGCTTGGTGACAACAAGAAGCCGACCGCTGCTGCTGCTGCTGCTGCTGCTATGAGTGCTGTGTCCGCCTGTACACAGCCGCTGAACAAACCTCCTTCATCAAACCCCTTGATGGTCTTGGTCTATGGTCCTCCCCGCATCTCAGCGCTCTCCTGAGTCCTCGCTGACCTCGTCCCCGCGACGTTCTCGCCCTCGCCCTTCCCTCGCCCTCTCCGCCCTCGTGATCCTCGTCCACCCCACGCACGTCGCGGACCCCCCACCCCCCGGCCCCCGGCCCGACCAGTCACCTTCCCACGACCGGTTCGCCGCTGGAGGGCGACTCGTCATCGACTCGTGTTGTCGAAATTGTCTTCGCCTTTCGTCTGAAATCGAGACGGAGCCGAAAGAGTTTTGATGCTTTGGCGGCCGAGCAGCCGCCGCTGCTTCTCAGAAGCCAAAGAGTTACTCACCCGCCCGTCCCCGTGCCGCTGCCGGTGGGCCATTGGGCTGGCCGTGGGCCCCTCCCGGGTGTCACCCGCGGGTGGCCCCGTCTGCCCCCGCCACCCCCTGTGTCGCCAACACGCCCCCGGCCCCGATGGGGCGCTGTCTGGTCTGCAAACACGACGCGCCAGGGAATCTCGCGGATCTCTTTGCGGCGCGCTATCGACAAGCTCTACAGTCCGGGTCAAAAGGAAAGCACTCTCGGGAGGTCGCCGCTCGTAAATAGTACATACAGCCAGTACACGCGCGGCGGGGACGCGTTGACGCCGTGGCGCTCGGGCCGTCTTGGGGCGGACTGTACTCATGCGTCACATCTTAATCGCCACGCGCCGCCATGTCGCGCTGCTTCGCCTCTTCCCGAGAGTGGACTGGCGGTGGCGGCTAAAGCCCTCGGGCGAAAGTGGGATGTGTGATGCCGTCCCCTGCCCCTGTCCTCCCTGGGGGCTGGGGGGCTCAGGGGGGCTGTGTGATTGCATGTTGACAGTCTGGTCGACAAGTGGGAGAGAGACGGACAGCGAGGGCGAGACTTTCGTGAAAAACTGGAAGTAAGACCACGTCATGTCCACGGCAAGCCATCGGACGAACTCCGTGCTTTCGGAGGGAGGGGGACAGGACAAGTGCCCTGCAGGCAGACCCGGAGCGGATGGCCCCCGACGAGTAGGCAACCCGCCCTCACGCCTGCATGCCGGTACAGTATACCCACAACGTGTTCCGGGGTCCGGCGGCCAGATCGGCCACCCTGTATCTTTCTCGCTAACTCCGATTCCTTATTCGAGTCGAGTGCTGCTATACGTGATGCTTTGCGAGTGCTTAGCCGTTGCTGACTGTTGCTGGGCGTTGCTTCGACTTTGCTTAGCCGTCGCTGAGTGTTGCTGAGCCGCGGGGCTCAGCGGGGCAGCGGGGCCCTGGCGATTTATAACCCTCGTTTGCTCCGGATCTGCGGGAACACGAGCAGAGAGCAGGGAGACGAGGGCGGGGCGGGGCGGGGCGGTAGTTAGAGCAGAGCAGGGGATTCCACTTCCCACACGTGTTTTATTATTGCTGGTTGCTGGAGAGGGGGTCCGGGGGGGAGATGCGAATGGTGACCTCCAGTGCGCCGGCCGGCCGGCCTGCCCGGCTGCCCGGCCTGAGCTGTGTGAACGCATTAATGCAATATGCACTGTGGACGTGGATCGGGTGTGCTGCTCTGCTGCTCTGGCTGCTGCTGGTGCTGCCATTGGATTGGTTGCGGATGAAGGCCGCCAAGGTCGGAAGGGTTACGGAAGGTCAAGGCGCCGGCCGGCCCAGCCTGCCGCGGCCTCCGCTCGCTCCAACGCGACCGCCGCGCCGCGCCGGCCCAGCAGCCCGTCGTTGCCCTAGGTTAGGTCGGACCGGGTCGGTCGGGTCTGAAGAGGAGCGGTCATGGGGCGGAGGGGTGGAGGACCTCATGTCAATGTAGCAGTTTGTCTCGACATCCACGTGACTCGTGTCCTGACACGGTCCTGACTCTCGTCATGGCACGGAGCGGAGGGCCGGAGGGCCGGAGGTCCTCATGCCAGTCAGCAGCGTATGTCGACGTCGACCTCCACGTGCCTCGTGTCCTATGACGCGGACCAACGCGGACCCGACCGTCGCCATGGCACGGAGCGGAGGGCTGGAGGTCCTCATGTCAGTGCAGCAGCGCCTCCACCTCCCCGCGACTCGTGTCCTGCCTCCTGACGCGGACCCGACCCTCGCCATGGTAATGACGCCCGTCTGCCATCACCAGGGGCGTTAGCGTGGCGGCGGCGCCGTGGACGCAGATCCAGTTCACGGAGCCTCTCTCCCCGCCGCCCCGTCCCACCTGCCGCCTCCTGCACTGCGGCGTGCACGCCGGCTTTGTTTACGAGGGATCGGAATTATTGGCAGCTTGACCTTGACGCGTCGTCGGCGGCGGCGGCGGCGTCGCGGCGGCGGCAGTGGCGGCGGCAGTGGCGGCGGCAGTAGTAACAATGGCAATAAGAGCAGCGGCTAGCGGCTGAGCCCGGGAGCCGCAGCCGCAGCCTCAGTAGCACGGCCCCAGGCCTCAGCGAGGAGCCTCAGACCGCCTCAAGCCCCTCCGCTCTGCTCACGCGAGCGAGCGCGGCGGCGCACGCGACCGACACGGTCGTCATCACGATCACCAACACGGCTGTGGGTTGGGTCGGGCGGTAACATCACCATGTCCTGCCACCTGACACGAGGAGTGTGCACACGTCTGTGCCAGAGAGCACCATCTGCGACCATCAGCTCATTACCACCATGGAATCATTACCATCATTATCAGCACTATATTACAATCATCACTGTCACAAATTTTTTTCTTTAGCCTCAAAATCAAAACTATCATGTAAAGCAAGAAGTCTTTTGAAAATATGCGCACTTCTATCATTATGACAATTGAAATAACAACTGTTAACCATCACTACGCTGCAAATTTTGCTTTGCACGTGCCTTTTACGGCGCATATTATTCTGCACTTTGCCATCACATCACCCAGCATGGCCCTGTACCTGTATGCTGTATGCAACACTGCGACAATGGCGCGCAAGGACGAGCTCAGTGCAGTGCAGAGTCTGCAGCAGAGTGCAACGTGTGCAACAATGGGCGCCAAGCCTCGGATTTAGCTGCCGGCTCCTCTGCAAAAATAATAAGTGTATCAAAGTTACGCCCGTACGTTAAGTAGTTTTCATAACGACACACAAAATCATGCTCTATTTAAATTTGCCGAACATTGGTTTGTTTCTGCCAAAATGTCAAGAGAACGCTGGTGCATGGCACCTATCCATCCATCCATCCCGCCCACCGCATGCAACAAGGCAACAAGGTGGCGCCTGCCTCGTGGAGCGGTAATTATTGTTTACAGATGGCGGTCTTAATCAAGACATTAAGGCTGCCGATAGCCGCTGATGTTATCTCTCTCTGCGGGGCTCGGCTCGGCCAGCTCGGCTCGGGTTAGCGGCGCGCGCGCTCACGGCCGCACAGTTTCTCCAGGTTCTCCAAGCCCGCCCCGTCGCCACCGCGCGCAACTCCGATTCTCACGGACTTGGTGCCTGAGGTGAAGACTACTCGCATAGCCAAGCTCATGTGCAAGTGCAGAATCTACGTGTCCCTTGGGTGTTAACTTTCCGTGTTTAATGGCAGAATATTCAAATGGAAACGGCGGAACGGAGGTGATTTAGTGATTTACTAGTTAGGTTGAGAAGTTCACTTTTTATTTGATATGTCAAAAATAAGCGTCAATGGAACTTAAAATATCAGGTAAATATGGTAACAATGCTTAGAGCAGCATTAAACACTAACAAAAAATGAAATAAATTATTAAAATCAGAGAAGAAAACTAAACAACAATATCACTCTGGAAACGATAGTCGGCACGTTACATTTTGTTGGTTTGTAGGGTGTTCAGGTCCCTTGAACATATTGAACACTTTAGGACCTAATGTTGCACTTCT